AAACCAACATCTGTAGCTATCATCACCTCCTTGTAATACTTTACAGTGTGATCGACATTGAGTACATCTGGTAGAAGATTATCTTCTTGGACAATGCAGTAACATTGTTCATCCATTGAGCATTTGAATGCAAAAATATGATCATCATTGACATTAAGATTTTTGCTGCTTTTTTTAATTGCTTCTGTGACTAATTTACAAGTTCGAGGACAAAAGTCCTTGCAACCATCAAAACGTATTTCGATATGTGTATAGTGATTGATGATATCTATAGTGTACTCTTTGTAAACACGGAGTGACATAGCATCATTATATCTGTAATAGTCTTTGCCTACTGGACTGAAGTCAACATCTTCTCTCTCTAAAAGGTGTACAATGGTTAAAGGAAATAATCCTTGAGGAATTGCTAGAGTTGTTGTTCCACTGTTGTTAATCTCCCATGCTATGAGAAGTGGTTGTATTTCTGTTGGGGCAGGAATGAGCTTATCACAAGATGGTAATGCACACGGAAAAAAATAATCTCCTCCTATTTCAGCAATAACATGGAGGTGTTTTAAAAGAGTGATCATGTGAGATGATTCAAAATCTTGATCAAAAATTTTTTTCTGACCAATTTTTTCTAAAAGGTCTTGTTTAAAAAGGCCACATTCTTTGAGGCGTATTCTTTCATTAGATACTTTTGCAATTAAATGCAGATTAGATTGGTCAATATATGTAATAGCTATTAAATGTGAAAGGGCACCAAGAATTGGCTTAGGATTGACAAATACTAAATTTGGTAGAACCTCATGGTAATAAAGAATGATAGTAACATCGTGCAAATATTGCAGAGCATCATCAATATCTGATTCATCAAGTAGCTGATCCTCACCAATTTTAATAACTTCTTCTTTTGTAAGAAAAACTGCGTTTCTTCTTCTTAGCTTCCCTTTGTAGAGAAATCTCAAAAGTAAGCAATCGAATTGGTAACTCAATTGTTAATTCAAGATCACAACTTGAAACTGCCTTACAAAGCTCTACACTAGCTTCCTCTCTTTCCTTAGACCCAGCAGGGAGCAATGTATCAACTGGAAATATAATTGATTCACCAGGTTCATTTGGAATGACATTTTTAAGATCTAGATTAGAGCTACTTATAAGACTTCTATTCATTTCTTTTAACCTTTCATCAGTAACCAATTCTTTACGTGTACCAAGAATAAGATAATGAGGGGGTTTAGGCTTGTCAGACTTAGAGAAAGAAATTTTGATAGGATTAAACATAGCTTCAGAGCTAATTGTTGAGCGTATTATATCGAGATTAGAATATTGCAGCTTTGTCTTAATAGGGAACGTATTTTGATTAATACGATAGTGAAACTCACACTTCTTCTCATGAAGACCTTTGGTAAGATCAATGGTGATGATATTCAGTGCAGCTGCTCCTGTAAAAAGAGGTAGCAACTCTCGATATGCTGGTTGACCACCAGAATCAATAAAATAAACCCAATTTGTGCTGAACTTTTTAGACTTTCCAGCTTCATGAACATTTATAACTTCTTGTACTACTTCTGTTTGAGTTGGATTAATTTCAGTTCGTTTAATCTCAGTGGGTGTCTGTTCAATTGATGGTTTAGTCTCGGTTGCATATAATTCATCGTCACTTTCATCTTCATCTGAACTATCAAATATATCATCTAAATCCAGTGATGCTTTATCCAATTTTTGTTCAAATTTCGTTTCAATTGGTGCCTCTTTTAAATGAGATGCTAGTTGATCATATAAATCTTGCTCTTCAACCCTCTCCCACTTCTTATTTTCATCATCAATAGATATTCTTGTTGCTTGAACAGCACGACAAGCTATTGGTGTACTATCAGTGAGTTTCTCAGGTGGTGGCTCATTAAGTAGGAGGTGCTGCGAACACGTTTTACCAGCTCCAGGTGCACCATGCATATTGATACGAGTGACTTTTAGCTCAACTGTACCTTCTTTCAGCCATTTTTCTATTTTTTCTAAAAATAAATGAAATATTGGTCACATTAAATTATGTAAATAGCCTACATTCTCCTACTTCACAATTGTGACATACCTGGCTTTATTCCAATCACTTCCTATACAATAATAATAATAATAACTGATATTTGTCACTGTGCTTGTTTATCAAGGTGATATACATCAGTAGTGTATTGCTAAAAGGTGAGTTTAACAGATGTTATCATGTTAGTAGTAAAAGCCATACAATCAGTCAACCCAAGTTTTGACAGACTGACCATAATTTTGATAATAAATAAAAATACATGTAGCATGTAAGATATGACCTTTTGATTATTAGCTTGTATTAATGTATCAAAAAGTTTGTAGTGTGTTAGTTCTTACCTTAATATCACGTCCTCCTAATAGTGACAGGTTACTAATATCTGATAGTGATTCATCAGGTAGGATCTCCTTCAATTCTGTTTGTCCTTTATCATGAACTAAGCAATCGTCTCCCTTGTCAATAGCAGACAGTATATCTTTTACACTATACACTGTCCTTTCTCTTGGTGTATTCACAGAATAGGCTAGTTCTTTAGGATCAATCACTAACTCTTTTACCTCTAGACTGGGACAGGATTCTTTATAAACACTCATTACCTCTCCTATCACATTTCTTCTTAAAGACACCATATTGTCACTGTAACCTTTCTCACAGGACATCATTACTAGTACACACTGGCTCTCATCCACAATCTCTACCAGTGATCCTATACCATGACCATTAAACCAGTAAAGTCCATTCTTCCAAAATGTACAGTAACGATTTAACTTATTACGTTGTTGAGGCAGGGTCATTTTAAAAGCAAGATGTAATGAGAGGACGTGGAAGTATAGAGGAGGAAAGAAATGATGTTTACTAGTACACTGTAGACACCAACCAAACTGGTAAACTTGACTAGTCATCTCATCAGGTCTATAAGTAGACAAAAGACATGGAAAGAACAACAACCTTTCTCTTACTGAGACACTGCCTCCCTCCTCCTCCTCTCCATCTTCTGCTATTAAATTTGTCATTCTTAGGAAAGATTGAGCCAATTTTTTACAGAGTTCCATGTTCTTCAGGAAACAGATCAACATGAAAGGATCATATCTAGGAAAGAGTCTATTCAGATCAGACACACTAACAATACCAGTATTACTAGCAATGTCAACATGTTCTTTGAATGTCTCTGGAGCAAAAAGAATCCCATCCACTTCAGTTAGTAGTATACCCTTATTCACAACAACCCATACCTTGCGTTTACTTTCAAGAACACTGATCAAACCAATTGAATGCAACGAATGAAGAACATCCAAGACATCTGCTCTCTTATCTGGTATAATGTAATTCTTATTGTCCTTACCAGCAGACATTATATCAGAGAGGGTCAGTATATTCTCTTTCCTTTCCTCCAGTAGACCATACACCATGTGACAATAAAGACTCAAATTCCTTCCACTTGTACTACGAATGGACTCACAGGCACTAGACAACATATTA